ACACACACACACACACACACACACACACACACACACACACACACACACACACACACACACACACACACACACACACACACACACACACACACACACACACACACACACACACACACACACACACACACACACACACACACACACACACACACAGAGGATCCGTCACTTTGCGATGAGCATCACACTCCTATTATTACATGATAACATCAGTAAATTATGGCGAGAGAAAGTTGGTTATTCATTATAGTATCCTATAATAATCACGCGTATATTCAAACACAGCATTTCTTATTGCCCTACGAGCCGTTGCCAGAAATATCATATAAGTGGTTATGATATGACAAGGCCAAACAAGTCCTGTAAAAGACATTTGACATTTTTTGCATACGATAATCATAACCGCTTGTGAGTTTTCTGACTACACAACCCTTTGTTAAGTATATATATAATCAAGAGTGATTAGTAGATTATTCTCTATTATTCACGCCTGATATAATTATATATATATATATATATATATATATATATATATATATATATATATAATGCACTAAGTACTGCGTCCTCTGCCATAACAAATAACCCCGGCCCGGGATAGAATCTTTTGCATTCGTACGATCAATGCTTTACTTCTAGGATTGAATTTAGACTTTACAATGGTTCATGACGTTTTCTATTTCACATGAATCGTAATATAGGCGTCCAAGTGTATGCGTTTAAAATAAAGCAAGCTCACTGAAAACCGCCATGCTGTTAATATCTTGACTGCTGTTAGTATCTCGTCTGCTGTTAGTATCTCGTCTGCGGTTAGTATCTCGCCTGCTGTTAGTATCTCGTCTGCTGTTAATATCTCGTTTGCTGTTAGTTTCTCGTCTGCTGTTAGTATCTCGTCTGTGTGTTTCGTGTTCGTTCAGCTTAGCGAAATCGAATAGCTAGAATACATGTAATTACCATTTACTCTCAGCTTCATGAAAGCTTTCTCTATACGCATTTACATGCTATAGGCCTACACACAGCATAAGTAATACGTGAACAATATGAATAAAACTTGTTTCATATAAAAATTTGTACTATAAAATTATATATATTGTAATGCGAAATGTTGAAGACTTCGGGTTCTCGTAGAATCGACAGCGTAGAACGTAGCAGCGTTGTTTCGTTAGCAAATGGTAGAGATGTTTCGTAGATAGCAAGGCAGAGCCGTAGTCGCAGAGTATAGTTATTTACTTTATTACTTGACACATATACAAATATATACAATACCACAGCCTAGGCAACCGTGCCTAGGATCCGGTGCCTCGTCTCGATCTCTCTTCGACTCATTACATAGTAACAGCGTGACTCTCCGTATAATCACTGTTTTCTAACTAATTCCTGCGTTTCATAATTTGGTAACTCCTCTTCCGTCTCTCCGAGCGTCTATTTATACGCTTCTTAAAACAACCCGGGCGCAATAAAATCCAAACCAGTTTCTCATCCGCTGCTTCTACTATTAGTGACATATTCACGCGCAATTGTTTGCAATCATTAGGGTGCGCTTTGGATCTACGTATATATAGTGCCGTACATCCCGCGTCATTACCAAAACAATAACGAACCACCAGGCCATAACACAGGCAAATTAGTTCCACTGCCTCGCCTGGCTAGAAGCGCTCCTGGTTACAATGTACAATACAACATATATATATATATATATATATATATATATATATATATA